CATGGACAGGGGCGGCAATCCTTGGCCCGATAGGGGGACACGTCCCCCAGGAAATTTATAAAGATAGCTAAAAAGAAATATAAAGGAAAGAACGCACATATTGGGCTTAGGGATTTTCTAGAATGCATAATTTCAGCATTCAAAATTGCAAAATCTCGCTTGGTCGCTACGCCCCGGCCCACAGTGGGCCAGGGAGGAACCAAAGTGCGCCAAAACTCATGTTTGGGGATTTGTTTTTTATAAATCCAGAGGAAATGTTTGGATTTCCAGGGATTTTCGCTTAAATTTTATTACCAACATTTTCTCTAATGTCTAAGCTTTAAGTTGATACCAGATTTGGCTGCCCGATTCTGCCCGTTATTATGTTAGAGCCGTTTTCCTTGCAACATTGCCCCGAAAATGTGTTTATTTTGGTCCGCGGTGTCAGAATTAGTGTTACGCGCCCCCTCGCGCCGTGATTTATGACCATGAATCCTTCATGACTCACCCGCGGGCGCATATTCTTTTTACACAACTGTTTAGCCACTTCAGTCAAATATACTGTGCAAACGACTAGAGACAGAGTCTAGCATTACCCTTAGCAGTTCTGTTGGATTATTGCTGGAGCTGTACATGTGCATACTCGTTATTTGTTTCGGGTTAAATCTATCCTCTCTTCTCTTTTATTATGTATTTCTGTGTTCTTCTTCAATCTAACCTCTCCTCTTTTGTCATGTATTTCTTTTTTCCTTCTTTAATCTATCCCTTTTCTCCTTTGTTTATATTTCTTTGTTTTTCCTTCAATCTATCACCCACTGTCCTTCGTTAATGTATTACCTTTGTTCTCCTTAATTCTAACCTCTTCTCTTTTGTTTTATGTATTTCTTTGTTTCTCCTTCAATCTATCCTTTTCTCCTTCGTCATCTATATTTCTTTGTTTTAATCTGATAGATTCCCTTTTTCCTTCTTTATGTATATTTCCCTATTTTTACTTATTTTAGACTAAAATAAGTAAAAATAGGGAAATATACAGAAGAAGGAAAAAGGGAATCTATCAGATTAAAACAAAAATCCAATTGAAACCAATTGAACACCAATTGAAATTTCAATTGGTTTCAATTGGTTCCAATTGGTCTCAATAGGTTTTAACAGGTTTCAATGGGACTTTAATAGGACTTCAGATGGTTTCAATTGGTCCAGATTGGCCCCCATTGGACAAATTGGACCCATTGGCCCCATTGGCCTAGGCCCCATTAGACTTTAATGGGTCCCCAATTGGTTTCAATTGGACCAATTGGCCTTAATTTGGACTTCAATTGGTCCAATTGAAACCAATTTAAATTCCATTAAAGTCTAATAGGGCCAATTGAAATCAATAGAAACCAATAGGACCAATGCTAAATAGAAACCAATTGGACCAATAAAAAAAAATTAGGACCAATAAGACCAATACAAAATAATAGGACCAATAGGACCAATAGAAACCAACAGAAACCAATAGAACCCAACAAATCTAGGCATCTCATGAATATTCATTATCACTTTACACGTGTCACAGAAAAATATTTTTTTCATGATTTGTTAAGCAAATTATGACAATGCACATCAATTTTGTGATTTCTATTTTCCTTCGGCAATTATTAACCAATAGATTATTTTGTCTGATCATGTTACAATTACATTCACGTTTTAGCAATAGATATATTGATTATATGATTACTAACCAAGAAACAACATGCATATTTAGTATATATATGTGTACGAGCCTGTGTCACTGTAAATATAACTCTTGAACTCACTTCAAATGATCTGTGTGATGAAGTTAATGCAAATGAGATTGGAATATACCTAATTGGTGGACAGTTGCCAATATCGATTATGAAGAATCAGTAATTTATCACTGGTTCTTCTAACTGGATCGATTTACCAATGCCCCCATTGAATCCCAATTGGCAATTTGGAGTAAATGGAAAGTGAAACAATGGGTACCCATTGAAACCAATTGGCAATTGGTCCCCATTAAAACCAATTGCCGTGATTTATCCATGGTTGGTGTAAAAGATCTTTTTTCCCTTTCATTTCTACTTACCTAATTGTGTGCTATCACAATCATGATTGTTTCACTTTCCCTTTAAAGCAGGCGCGTAGCTAGGGGCGGTAGGGGCACTAAGAGGACATAGGACGAAAAAGGAGCAGACAAAGAAACATTTTTTAAATTTTGACAAGTCGAGAACAGTACCACGAATCGTCTTCTTTATCTAATAATTAAATGAAATGTCAAAACTTCCGCGCATCGCTCGGGAGGGGGGCAAATGAATTCAGAAAAGCATTGGGAGTCAAGAATGGTAAAACGAATCATCTTCTTTCTCTAATAATTTAATGAAACGTCAAAGCTTCCACGCTTCCACGGGGGAAACTGCATTCAAACAAGGATTAAGAGTCACGAATCGTCTTCTTCAAACGTCAAAGCTTACGCGCTACGCGCGGGCAGGGGGAAACTGAATTCAGACAAGGATTAAGAGTCGAGAATGGTACAAAGAATCGTCTCCTTTCTCTTATAATTTAATGAAACGTTAAGCTTACGTGCAAAGCGCAGGAGGGGGGCTGAATTCAGTCAAGTAATAAGAGTCGAGAATGGTACAACAAATCTTCTTTCTTTAATAATTAATGAAAGGGCAAAGCTTCCGCGCTTCGCACGGGCGAGGGGAAACTGAATTCAGACAAGGATTAAGAGTCGAGAATGGTATACAACGAATCGTCTTCTTTCTCTAATAATTTAATGAAATGTCAAAGCTTCCACGCTTCGCGCGAGAGGGGGGGGGGGGGAACTGCCTTCAAACAAGGATTAAGAGTCGAGAATGTTACAACGAATCGTCTTCTTTCTCTAATAATTTAATGAAACGTCAAAGCTTCCGCTTCGCGCGGGAGGGGGTAAACTGAAATCAGACAAGGAATACGAGTCCAGAATTGTACAACAAATCGTCTTTTTTCTCTAATAATTAATGAAAGGTCAAAGCTTCCGCGTTTCGCGCGTAATGGGGGGGGGGGGGGCGGGGCGGGGGCGGGACAGCGAGCTGCCCGAATATGAGTTTTTGATATCTTTTCTCGTTTATTCTGGTGATAAATAACACTTTCACAAAATACATATTACGCTCAAATTGTTGCTCGCTCGCTTCGCTCACTAGCCGAATTGTGAAACCAGAAAATTACTTTTTTCGGGCAAAAGGCTATAACCCCCCCCCCCCCGCCCCCCAGAGATAAAAATGTCAAAAATTGTACCGGTATGGTGCTTCTAAAATGACCTTGAAAAAACGATCTGCGCAATTTTCAAATTTCCGGCCCCCCCCCCCCCCCCCCCCCTATTGGAAAATCCTGGATCCGCGCCTGGTATAGTTGTACGAATATTGGCCTGCTTGGCCCCCATACTCTTCGACTCTAGCTCACTCAGTCAAAGTCCCGGCCGACAGCAGCAGCACTGTATGTACTGTACGTGTGTTGACTAAAGGCAGCTTGCGACTGAACTGTCAGTCCAATGATTTTCTTGTGAAAACTTTCCTTTAGAAAATGATGATAAAACTTCAGTAAACATGGCCAGAATAATCACAAAAAAGGCGTTGATTTCATACCTCCATTCAAGAAAACTATATAAAAATCGCGGCAATTATGATGGAAATAGTTTGAACGTCGACGGGAAGCCCAGTGTATCTCTCAGGCTTGTGCAGCTACTACAAAGCACATCCTATAGCAAGATGCTTTACTCGGGGTAATCCCGACCCTTTGCATAGTTCATTTGATACGCAACATAATGTGAGTTGATGATCATCTGTCGTGTGTCTCTTTGATGTCTTTGATGTCTCTGTCGTCACGCATATCATGCATTATGCATATCGCGTCTGTTTTCGCCCTGGACGTCGACACGGAGGAGGACCTCGGGCCAGGGATAAACTCACATATCCCTGCTCGGGCGGAGTATAGCCAATTACACAGAGTAGACTCTCCCGCGGACGATGGCACCGGGCACTGGTACCCCGAGAGGAGAGTTCAGGAGGAGATAGCTGCACCAACTTCGGTCGGCGATCTCATTAAAAAACAATAGAATACAAAGGCTCGCGGAGACCTCATGCCCCCCGCGGAGTCTTAGCGTATTACTTACTGTGATGATAAAAGGTTTCCATGTTTAGGTTTCCAGGAAACCTAAACACGGGAAGAAGAAACCTGGAAGACCTCATCTTACCTATACAGACCTACTCAAGAAGGATACGGGACTTGAACTTTCAGAGATAAAAGCAGCCATGCTGGACAGGAATGTGTGGAAGGCCATCACAGCTCGGGCAGTTGACACGACTTAAGCAAGTAAGCAAGGTGATAAAAGATACAATTAGTTACAATGACTCAAGCATGCAATCCTAAAATTAAAAATGCGTTTGTTTCCAGGTGGTAGCTTTTGGGGTACCTTAAATTCCAGCTTGATCATTATGCGCGCGTACACTAACACCGAGGAAAAGGGTATTGTCGTTGGAGGCAGAACGTGCGTATCTCATTAAAGGTATACAAACAACCACATATTTGAAGAAAAAAAGTGTTTAAATCACACATCGCGTACGTCAATTCATAAATTATACACACAAGATGGCGATAATTAAAAGAGCACTATTTGAGTGTTAAACTAGCACGTTAAGTGGTATTAGTAGTAGGGACGTTAAACCGGGGACGTGTCCCCCTATAGTCTACAGTGTATAGTCGGCGAAATAAACAATCAATAAAAAGAGTCCAGAACTAGCACTATGAACATGACAGACAATGAAAGCGGACAAAATATACAGTTCCTCAGGTAGACAAAGGAACATCCCTTCACTGCTATAATGTAAAATGTGTAGAACAGGTGAATATGCATATGTGACACCTGTTCTACACATTTTTACATAATAGCAGTGAAGGGATGTTCCTTTGTCTACCTGAGGAACTGTATATTTTGTCCGCTTTCATTGTCTGTCATATTCATAGTGTAGACTACTGCATGTCCCCCCCCCCCACTTATTGACGTCCATGTCAGCGGAGCGTGTGTTGTTTAACCTATTCTGAATTTATGGTTCGCATCTATTAAAGGATATACTATTGACATAACCCTACGTTCTATTGTATTCAATCACTGAATGGCGTGCATACAAAACGTACTGTGATGAATAGACATTTGTGGGAAAAAGGTAGAAGTCAATTTCCGTGTGCCCAGTCGTATATGTATATGTTGTGTGAAACACGGATATCATAATATACAGCATCATTCTCTGATAGAAAGCGATGTGAGCAGAGACATATATTCGTTGACGGTATGTATGATTATGTGGTATCGTTGAATTGCGTTAGGTTAGGAATACGTTATTAAAACGTAATCATCTAGTCGAAATAACTTCTAGATTTTTTAGAATCATATATTATTGGTCCAGGTTGACACCTTTAACATAACAGCATGAAGGTGCATGGCTGAAGGGAAAGTGGAGAAATAAAAAGAGGTGATTTACTCAGAAGTACCCAAAGTGGATTTAGCTCCTGTTGGAATGAAACTCTTCATATGTTAATTGGACGTGAAAGGCTAATATAATACAGTTAGCAATTGAATTATTCATACCCCTTCTATTTTAAAATTTGAAGTTTTTGTGTTTATTCGTAACTCAATAATGAAAGATGGTCTGGTTGAATCTAGGGCCTTTGTTGAATACATTTAGATGTAAGCTTTAATATGTCACATTCTTAGGCAACATAATTCAGGACAAATTAATTCTTTTCCCTACAAATTACAAAACTTGGTAAGGGTATGAATAATGTAGTTGTTAACTGTATACCTACATCGACTTCTCTGCCCAAAGCAAATCAGTGAGACCCTAACTCTGGGTTAAAACCTGGTACAGCATGATAAAAACATGATTATGCAGACCGTGTCATGACGGTAAATGGAAGTAAATAGTGTTTCCATGGAAATGGATGTTCTACCGATACGCTGAAGCTGCTTTGTGCATGTACATCGTAAGGGCACAGGTATATCCCGATCGTACACGTTTACTTCCTATATGTGCACTACTGTTATGCTCTGTCGACGTTGTTAAAACATTTGACCTTCGTTTCTTTTCAATACCTAAGTTCCTGTATGATTTCCGCTTTCGCGTTGATAAGAATTGTGTAGTACTTTGAATGGAAGTCATGAGTACCAGTATGATACTTACCGTTGCTGAAAATTGACAATCAGCAATTTCTGTTTTGATTTGTAATATATTGTGAAGAAGGCGAATGTATTTTGTAAGCAATTAATGCAACTTCAACCACCACCACCCTACACTACCATCACCGTCACCTGCATCACGACCACAATCAACGCCATCACCAACGGTGTCGATTTGTATCCGTGGTTGGGGGGTGGGGGGGGGGGGGGGATGGTAGGTGCCAAAATATTTTCGGCAATGGATCAAAGCAACCAAGAGGTAGAAGCAGGCGCGGATCCAGGATTTCTTAGGGTAGGGGGTCCAAATTTGAAATTATGCGAGCCAAATATTGGAACGTAATGGTGACACCGGCAGTGGCAAAAACGTTTTTTGTTTTTGTTTTTTTTTTTTTTTGGGGGGGGGGGGGGGGTAGACAAAAAAAAAATCCCCATCGCCCCACTATTACATGCAGGCTCCGCTTAAAGAAAACCAAAACCTTCATACTAAGTTACTTTTATTGTAAAGTTTAAAAGATTTGAATAAAATAAGTGAAAATTTGAACAAAATCGGGCAAGGAATAAGAAAGTTAGAGCATTTTGAAATGACTAGTCACTAGTGTGTGGTATTCAATTTGATGACATCATCTGTGAACAACTCTCCATGCCTTTTGTACATAAAATTTCACCATTTTTTTGTTTTCTTCGTATTTATTTGTGTTCTTGATCCGACTTCATAACATGTGAAGTAGAATATCATTTTGCATTCTATATCTTGCTTTCAGGGGAGTACATTATCACAATCACAAGAAAGAAGGAAAAACATGAAATTTGATGTACAAAAGGCATGGAGAGTTGTCCACAGATGATGTCATCAAATTGAATACCGCCCTCTAGTGACTAGTCATTTAAAAAAGATCTTACTTCCTTATTCCTTGCCCGATTTTGTTCAAATTTTCACTGATATTTTTCAAATATCTTAAACTTTACAATAAAAGTAACTTAGTATGAAGGTTTTGGTTTCCTTTAATGTTTCTCGGCGGGGTCAAGGGGTTGAGCCCCCAGAAGCTCAGGGGGTATAGGCATTTAATTACTGTCAGATGAGCATATTTTGATACCTTATTTGTGACACTAGCAGGACACAATTTTGTGTTGGGTCCGGGGGCGTAGCCCCCAGAAACTCAGGGGTGTTATACATTAAATTATCCTCATTTGAGGATATTTTTATACCTTATTTATGAAACTGGCAGGTTACGAATTGGCGTGGGGTCCAGGGGGCGGAGCCCCGGAAGCTCAGGGGTTTTGGGCAATAAATTACGGTCAGATGAGCATATTTTGATACCTTATTTGTGACACTGGCAAGACACAAATTGGTGTTGGGTCCATGGTGCGGAGCCCCCAGAAGCTCAGAGGTTTTATACATTAAATTATCGTCAGACGAGCATATTTTTATACCTTATTTTTGACACTGGCAGGTCACGAATTGGCGTGGGGTCCAGGGGATGGAGCCCCGGAAGCTCAGGAGTTTGGGGCAATAAATTACGGTCAGATGAGCATATTTTGGTACCTTATTTGTGACACTGGCCGGACACTTGGCGTGAGGTCCTAGGGGCCGAGACCACAGAAGCTCAGGGGTTTTAAGCATTAAATTACCGTCAGATGAGCATCCAGCCGTCCGCCTTAGGGCCCTAGGTGGGGTCCAGGTGGCGGAGCCCCGGAAGCTCAGGGGTTTTGGGCAATAAATTACGGTCAGATGAACATATTTTGATACCTTATTTGTGACACTGGCAAGACACAAATTGGTGTTGGGTCCATGGTGCGGAGCCCCCAGAAGCTCAGAGGTTTTATACATTAAATTATCGTCAGACGAGCATATTTTTATACCTTATTTTTGACACTGGCAGGTCACGAATTAGCCTGGGGTCCAGGGGGTGGAGCCCCCGGAAGCTCAGGAGTTTGGGGCATTAAATTACGGTCAGATGAGCATATCTTGGTACCTTATTTGTGACACTGGCCGGACACTTGGCGTGAGGTCCTAGGGGCCGAGACCACAGAAGCTCAGGGGTTTTAAGTATTAAATTACCGTCAGATGAGCATCCAGCCGTCCGCCTTAGGGCCCTAGGTGGGGTCTAGGGGGCAGAGCCCCCGGAAGCTCAGGGGTTTTAAGGCATTTAATCACGGTCAGATGAGCACATTTTTGTTGGGCCCCGGAAATTGGAAAATTACTGACGTCGTCAGATATTTCGTTCAGGGGCTTGGATGGGGGGGGGGGGGGGAGAACACTTTTTTGTTGCTTTCTTTTCAAGAGGCACTAGACCCATGTGTGTAACTTAAGAAAGAACTCTTTGTTTACCCGATTTCGTTCAGGTGTCTATATGATTTTTTTATTAAAAGATGCATGCGTTCATAACTTCTCTCGTAATTTACGTTAATAATTTTGTTCAAGGTAAATAGAGGAAAATGTCTATCATTATCTCCATTTGCTATCTAAAGATTTTGCTCCTTTCGGAAAATAGCTCTTCAAATGTTTTACATGTAGAGATATAAATAAACCAAAAAATGGATGAAATTTGTACATCAAATTTCATGTTTTTTCTTCTTTCTTGTGATTGAGATAATCTACTCCCCTGAAAGTAAGATATAGAATGAAAAATGATATTCTACTTCACATGTTATGAAGTCGGATCAAGAACCCATATAAATACGAAGAAAACGAAAAAATTGTGAAGTTGTATGTACAAAAGGCATGGAGAGTTGTCCACAGATGATGTCATCAAATTGAATATCGCCCTCTAGTGACTATTCATTAAAAAAGCTCTAACTTCCTTATTCCTTGCCCGATTTTGTTTCGAGACCAAAAAAAAAATTAAAAAAAATGTCCTCTTACCACCCCCCACCCCCCCCCCCCCCCGCTTATTCAGCGGCTGGCTGAGTCGTTGCAATTTTTTTTGGACTAAAAAGAAAAGAAATAAAAATTGTCCGCTTACCCCCCACATCCCCCCGGGATCGACACCCATGGCCATCACCCAACCAACACCACCACCACCACCACCACCACCACCACCACCACCACCAACACCACCGCCGCCACCACTACCATCTTTCATGTGCTTTTCTGTTCTGGTTTCCTGGTCTACTTGAGAGATTGTCTTGCAGTTGTAGGATATTATTCCTGTATTTGTCATTATTCGTCGGCGTCGTATGAAATCCTCATTTTCTAATTTTGTGACGGAAAGTATTTTCAAATTCGTTCGAAAAAATGTTATAAATAATATTGTTCTACCTCAAGCCTTAATGAAGATGTCACGTTATGGACTTGGATTTTTCTCATGAAAATGTGGACATATTCGATCTTGAAAAATAGACTTAAACAAAGCTGAATATAAATTATTTTGACCAGTGTGCTTCTATTTATTTTGACGTTTTCTCACGCAGAAGGAGTGAAATCATTTGTCCTATTTACTTGACAATGGAGTTGAAGCAACCTGCGGCAACAAACGTCATGGACCAAAACCAAGAGCCCGATAGTCGTATCATCATGGTAAGGCCCTTTATTTCATCCTACTCCTCCTCCTGCTCCTGTTCCCCTCCATTCCCTCCTCCTCCTCCTGGTCTCTTACTTCTACTACTTTTTATGATGATGATGATGATGATGATGATGATGTTGCTGTAGTTATTGTCTGGTAAACTACACCTACTATTCTTCTACTACTACTACTACTACCCATATGAAAGAAATGAGCCTGCCGCATACTCCTGCGGCAGACCTGCCGCAGACAGTCATCTTTTTCACATGCAAATTAGTTTTGCCGCACCATTGCCGCATACTCTTCATCATGGATATTCATAAAAAAAGGCTATAACAAAGAGTCTGCTGCAATTAGCAGGTCTATCAAATTTGATAGACCTGCTAATTGTAAAACGGTATTTAAACCAGTAGTAAAACAATATCAACTAGTGTGATAATCAAAATCTTAATTCAGAGAGCAAATGAAGGACTACTGTACAAATGACGAATATAACAATGTGAATGGAAAGGGAAGACAAATTACATTTATCAAATACACAAATGATATTCAATCGTTATCGTGGGTAAGGAATTTTCCTTCTCGTACACATTACATATGTAATGTCTTAGAAGGCTACATTCCTTGGAAGCACTTGCCGTAAACGGTGGGAGCGACATAACAAAACGAATTCCATGATGGAAGACAATGCACTAAGCATCATTTTTTTTGGTAAGGATATTATCAATAGAGTATAAAACATAATTTGTATAGGCACGCCATTTGCGTAATGTGAATACAGTATGCCCCATTACATTATATTTACAATCATTGTTTACAATCATTAATTCAACTTTAACACTAACAAACTGTTAAGGCGAGGAGCTTTATTATTTTGTTTAATCAACATGACAGTTGTACAAAAGTGTGCCTTGTCTTTCTTGGAGAAGTTTATATAAAAAAAAAAAACTCAAATCAGATATACAATCGATTCCACCATCTTTTCTGAAATATATATTTTGTTATGATTTTATTCATGCACACAGAAATACAAAAAAGCAAAGAAAAAAAATATATGCCTAAACAATGAAAAAGAAAATGTAGTTCTCCACTTGTGTACTTGTGCACCCCTGTTTATAAATAACATGTCCTCTTTTTGTTTGACAAAACAAAATAGGCATCAAAAGCGGGGAACGTCGAAGCGTTGCGACGCGCTTTGGGTGCGGAACCTGGAAAGGTTGACACACCTGATAGCAACGGAATGTCACCACTCTTCTTAGCTGTGAAGGAGGGTAGTCTACCATGTGTGAAACTTCTCGTCTCGAAACATGCTGGTGAGTAAAAACATTAACACAAAAGGAAAAGAGGACAAAATAAAATAATTAAACACCCTCACATGAAAAAAAGGAAAAAGAAAATTTCTCAACACATCTAGTATCAGTGAAATGTCCTTATTTTAGCGTAGCGATTTGATGAGTTTCTCAACAATTATTATGCATTGTTTGACTTGGTAGTCTCTGTCGTAACGGAGACTCATATCTTCCCCATAATCCTGCTCAGAGTTGCAGACTCATTGTTATAATTTACAATCATGCATGTTTTCATATTGGTTTTACTGAAAGCTTTTTATTTGCCTAGCTCTTTCACCTTGTCATACTCATTGTGTGTGTTCACCATGCAGCATGGAGTCTGCAGATTCATGATTTCATGACGAGAGAGAGAGAGAGAGAGAAAGAGAGAGAGAGAGAGAGAGAGAGAGAGAGAGAATATGGAATTTGCGACGCAAGTTTTAAACAAACAATAGATGAATACAAGTCGATTTGGGGTGTCATAAAAATGTAATCCCATACAACTCCACAAAATTTGCGTAACAGAGACAAGGGTCGATCGAAAGAAAGAGAGTGCGTGTGCGTATGTGTGTGTATGTGTGTGTATGTGTGTCTGTGTGTCTGTGTGTGTGTGTGTGTGTGTGAGAGAGAGAGAGAGAGTGAGTATGTTTTGTTATAAATTCAAATAGGATTTTACTTTTGTAACTTGATTTGATTTGATTTGATCATGAAAAAATTAATAGTACAACCGATGAACACGCTTTACGAAAAATTAAGACTGTAATCAAGCTATAATCATTTAAGGAGAAGGGGCGTGGGATGCGATCAAAAGGAAGAACAATAACCAGAATGTACGATCCACAACTACATGTAACAAGTATACCTCCCCAAGTATACATCCCATAGAAATCATGTTCGGAATCCCCCTTCAAAACAAAAAATAGATTACCCTGTACTCATAATATTTTGCTGCAATGTTTGAATGTTTCAACAGACGTGAATATGAAGGCTAGGTCGCCACTAGTCGTAACGAGGGAGTTAGATGAATCGTGGGCTCTGGCAGACTATGAGGTAAGTAGTATATACAGGATAATGGGGTGGATTATGAAGGGGAAAAAAAAGAATATTTCTAATTTAAGATAAGATACTGCTTGTGTGATTTAACATGTTTAAAGTCATTTTTTAAATCAAATTTTGGATACGCCCTTGCTTTAGATAACTCATCTTTTGTTTTTAAATAATTGTTGTGACTGCATACATTGGTAGATTTCCTGGTTGCTTATATACGTCAACCTAGTGCCAAAAGTAAATGAAGATCTAGTTCTCCATCGGTGGTAAACTCTAGAAGACATGGGGCATTCTGACCTAAGAGTATTGTTTTATATCCAACAATGAAACAAAAAAACATTCAAAACGCAAGCAGTGAAAAAAATCATTAGTAAAATGACAACGTTAACAACAGCAACATTGCATGTTTTTTCATCATCACAGTCACCATTACCAATACCACCACCACCCATCATCATCAGTATCATTATAATCATCATAATTATCCCAAATCACTATAATAATAAGCGCCATTATCATTATTATTAACATTATCCTGATCATCACCATCATCGTCGTCGTCAACACCCTCCTCCTCGCCATCAACATTATCAGCACCGTCACCTTTATTCATCAATAGTGTCTAAAAACAACAAATATCAATTCCCCCCCCCAAAAAAAAAATGCTAACAACGGCAACAGATGCATCTTCGTGTTCATTTTATCCCTGCAGTGGTCTTTGTCGCCATTTCTTCTCGCCTGTCGGCTCGGTCACCAGTCCATAATCGAGTTCCTATTCTACAATGGTGCAGACTTATGTCAGACCAGTGTTGAAGACGACTTGAATTGCTTGTCCTTAGCCATCATGTATAGTCGAGAGTAAGTCGATTTATATCAATATTATCAAATTAAATGAAGTGCTTAAGAAGTCTTGAGTTGCTTGTGAAAACTTCGTAGTTCTTAAAAATAAGTTTTGAAGTTTGAAACTCGTAGAATAAAAAGAAAGTGTACGAATTAAAAAAAATAGTACAATTTAAATCGAGCTAATCTGGATTTCAACTTTGTATTAACAACTTAAAACCATTGTCACCTATTTACCAAATATGTTCTTTTAAGAACACATTGTACTCTAAAGGAAAACACATTTGGCAAATTAGTGTCATTCAAATACTTCAGTTTAGCTCCTGCGGTAATTACCATATCTTAACAAGTCTATACTTTCACTAAATAGATCACTAATATATTATCATTAAAATAGTAATCAATTTTCATTGATAAAAAAACGGTAATTTGTATTATTCAATGACGCAATCGTGTTTATTATTATTATTACTCTTTTTTCATCCTCTTTTTAAAGGGAGACTGCCAAGTTTATTGTGACCCATACGACTTACGAAACTCTCTTGTTCTTGATGAAGACAGTGTCACGTGACCTGACTTTGGGACGTTATTCTGAAAGGATCTCGACGCCAATGAGACAGTTAATACAGTACATGCCTGGTAGGTGAAATGATCGTTGTCACATGACGTCAAAATGAAATGTAAAAGAAAATGGAAGGAGAGTAGAGGGGTACGAGGTATAGTGATGCATCTTGAGCCAATGTCTCAACCAGAATAAATAACAATGAGTATCATTTCGTTTTTGCCTGTATGTCGGCTACTCAGGGCGTCATTATTTTTGTTCGATTTATGCATTTATGTTTCAGACAACAATTTTCAAGTTTCGTGTTTATTCATTTGACTTTCTTCCTATAATAATATCAGGAAGAACAGTATCAATAACACAAACAGGTATACAAAAACTAATTTAGAATTGAGCATGAGCAGATTACAACAGCACATAATGTTTATGAGGACATGTTTGGATCAAAATGCGACAATATTTTGAAGAAAGACAAATGAGGAGGCCTAAGGGGGCATTTTAAACATGAGATACCATTTCTCTGTTTTCACACCAATCTGAAAACGTCCTTTTGAATACTAACAGATGTAGCAGGGATTGTAATGGACAGATGCATCACGCTGAATGAAAATGATGATGAAGTCACGTGTTATCTTGAACTTCTAGACGACTTCTACTCCCCTTGGGCTCGGCAAAACAAAGGTATGTTACGTAAAAACGACTTTCGTAAAAAAACAACCTTAGGCAATTGAATAATTAAAATTGTCCTTCACCTTTTTAATTTCGAGAACATTTCAGTGACATTTTTACTTAACTCCGAACTGGATTTCAATGGCGATAAACAAAAGGCTAGTACTGAAATTGCCCTTTATTTACAGTAAAACAGTTAAACTAGATTACCTGAAGTCTAGATTGCCTAAAACGTGACATGTTTTATTTCGTGCCTTGTAGTAAATACAAGCTTGGAACCTTTCTTAGTCTACATTTCTCTGTAAACTGCAACTGGCCACCTGTCCATAGGGGTAACATGCATCATCTCTCTCAAGGGTAAACCATGTGTTGTAAATATCCCCTAGATCGAGCGGCCTAGACTATACTCTGCACATACGGTGTATGTTTAAACATCAGTCATCTCCAATAAGAAAAACACATCAACGATGTTACATTGGGAATACTTAGGTCCTCTGTCAAAAGAAATACACCTGTAAACCCTCCTATAAACAGACATTATCGTAATTATCATTATTATTATTATTATTATTATTATTATTATTATATTATTATTATTATTATTATCATTATTATCATTATTATAATTATTATTATCATTATTATTATCATTATTATCATTATTATTATTATTATTATTATTATTATTATTATTATCATTATTATCATTATTATCATTATTATTATCATTATTATTATTATTATTATCATTATTATTATTATTATTATTATTATATTCATTATTATTATTATTACTATTATTATTAATATTATCATAATTATAATCATTATCATTATAAATAGTATTATTTCATTATAATCATCATTATCGTTATCATATTGTTTTCATTATTACTATTATTATCGTTCTTGTTGTTATTGTCATTATCATTATCATTATTTGCATTAAATAGATCGCACCGAAGTCTTTGATGGCGATGGTAATCTACTCGTGCACCTTGAACCCAGGCATACTCAAAACAAGAATAGTCAACATCCATTGGCACTTATGGTAAGCCTGAGCTTTTTAATACCAATATAGTACGGGGGCCCCAGCACGAGAGAGAGAGAGAGAGAGAGAGAGAGAGAGGGAGGCATAGAGAGAGAGAGAGAAGCAGAGAGAGAGAGAGAGAGAGAGAGAGAGAGAGAGAGAGAGAGAGAGTATTAAACGAGGTAAAATTCTTGAGATTACAGCTGTTGAGTCTGAGGTATGAGCCTACTGGAACCAAGCATATTGGAATTAGATAATTCAGCAGTCAACGAGTTAACATCATTAACTCTAAACCCTGTAAAATAACTTTAATTATAATGTATCTCCCATTGTGATCTGTAATTATAGAAACAAACTTTAATTCTAAATGGGAAATAATCTAAAAAATAACACGTTCACTTTGTGAAGTACCATGTCTAAAATAACGAATTCCATCCCACATTAATCTCCATGTATCTTATATATCAGGAGTACTACATGTTACTTGCAACAACACAATATATGAAGATCTATCCTTGAACCACTTTTGGGGACAGTGATCCAAGAATCATGAACCATATTTTTTCTTTTCTTAATAGAATAAAAAATGTTGGTGAGATTTAAATAGTTGGAGTCTACAAAAGAAGAAGTATAAAGAAAAAGAGAAGTGAACATTATTTTTGTAAAACTCCGAAAAATCAAATACAGATACAACCACACCCATGACAAATGGAAAAATATCATATTATTTTTGCGATATTTTTCGATAATAATATTACACTGTATATCCTGTCTAATTTCTTTAACACTTACGAGAACAGGTCCTACTTCAATCTCACACCTAGGGAAGGGGTTTTGGGATTATTATGAAATTATTGCTGACTAATATTTCATATAAAGCATTATGCTTGTATTCATGTACTTGTCTATCTAAATTGTGAATTATGTCAGACTCGCAATTAAAATTTTGTTAATCTTATATTAGAAGATTGGAAAATGCATTGGAAATTATAATGTTAATTCAAAAAAGCACATTAGATAATTTAACAAGTTGAAAATGTACAATATATTGTCTTTAAATATTTAAGTAGATCTCAAAGATTAAACATACCTTTAGAAAAAGTGAACTGGAAGTACGTTAACCATCACAATAACAAATTAAACAAAGTTTATTCGGTAAATATTTGGGCAGATCTAAGAGTTTAACACACCTTTCATAACTGAATTATTGATATTACCTTTGACCTGATAAACTTACGCCTGCAGCAAGAACAGGAGCGTCACGCCAATCTCCTGACCCACCCTCTCTCCATCAAACTCATCGAACACAAATGGCGCATCCTGGGATCGGCTTTAAACTTGGCCTCGCTCTTCGTCTATCTAATCTTTCTTGGTTTCCTCACCGGCTATGTCTTGGTGAATCCCCCTTCCTTCTACGTCAAGTTCTTCAACAAAACGAACATCATCTGGTATTATGAGCCGGATAAGCTCCTGCCCGATGAAACTTACTCTGAGGCTTCCAAGTACTTTTTCGGGGTTAACAGCACTGGAATCTTGTTGACATTGGTCATTGTCAACATTATCAAAGAGGTATATATTTTAGTTCTTTTTATTTTTCCATTCAAAACAAAAGAAACAAATTATTCTTAGATTTCTCACATAATAATTTTGTCTCCCTAAATAAGAATACAATTAAACTGTTAAATACAATACAAACAAAACTTGAACACACTACATTAATGCAATCATGAGAAGAAAAACAATGCATTTTAATTGCTTTTTGTTAGAAATGAAACTAAAGTAATAAAGAAAATTCCTTGATTTTGAGAGGAAATCAAATGTTTAATTTAAAAAAAAAGTCAAAAGAAGAGAAAATAAAAGGAAGGAGATTGATCTAGTTAACACGATCGCAACACTTAAACACTAAACACCTGACTTGCCTTGTGTAAACGCCACAATTGAAAGACACAACAATGATGAATAATATCATAAACATTATTAATACGAGCATGATTTCTACAGAAAATGCAATAGATTACTGAAAGTCCATTTCTAGAAAGTCATTGTGATCATTTTATGTTATTGTTTATTTGTCGGTTTACTTTGACAGGATACCCCTTTCACTAGGATGACTACTCACCAATACATTAAAGTAGATATCCATTGATTAAAAAAAAAAAAACTTTATTTTCATTATTGCAAAGTTGAAACTTTGATTCGACAAGGTTATCAAAATTCAATGCTTGGAAACATTGGATGTAATGATTATCATGAATTACAAAACGCTTAAATACAGCCCCGGCATAGGACCTGAAGAGCTCTCCGAACGCTGCTGAGATGTGTGAGATCACAGTATGGACATGATTTGCACAAGCAGACGATTTCCCATGACATCTCACACATTTTCAGTGCCTGTGTTTGTATCTTCTCTTGAGTTCTTTCTCCTACTTAACTACCGTCAGGCTAAATGTATAATCTATTGCCTCACTCTAAACCCCGCGCAAGTTTTTATATTAATGACAAATGCAGCGATACAAAAAATAAAGGAATCTGTCGCTTGTAAACAAAATAAGACGCCATTGTATATTCAGCTGCACACACTGCGGAATGTTCGGCGTTTCAAGAGGGAACAAATGTCGTCCTTAATATCATTTCGGGGAGTTTTCAATTTGAAAGTCTGGTTTCTTTGATTGTTAACTAAACCCCTATCCTGAGTATTTACAAGCAAAAGATTTTAGTTATCAGAATCGGTCATATCCCCTTTTGAATGGTTTGACATGTTATAACATTTATATACACTAAACTCATTATAATTTAACAAATAATAGCTTTGCAATTATGTACATTCTTTATAGGATGTCGTCTGCTTGGGCAGTATTGGGCCATATAGTGACGTCATTAAAACATCGTTATTTTTCCGGCGAATCTCTCGTATATCCCAGCTGCTATGAAGGTGGTTGCATTTGTATTTTTTTTGGTATAAATCACTCGATATGTAGTTGACCTAAAACTTGTACGATGGAAAGCTGTTAGCTTACCAGTTTTTAGTGATACATTAGTTGACATATTTGTGATTTTCTTTGAATTTCACCTTTTAAGGGATCGTTTAACAATGTTAAATCTGAGATACACGGCCCTGCGTGTTATCAGTGGCTGTGATATGGTGTGATATTGAAGCCCAAACAAAATTGCGCTTCAAAATGATCAAGGAGTGCCTCAAAAAAGTGAGTGACCGGTTTTACCATACTCATTTCCCCAATAGACAGTAGTCTTATCAAAACCGTTAGGAAACAGAAAATGAATTTTCGATTTCCAATCAAAAATATCCTGAAAATCAGACAGGCGATGGGCTTGTAAAAGTCATGGGATTCCTGACTGACCTAAAGGTTTGTAATTATGATTACAGCATGAGCTAAATCCAGAATTTTGTTTCAGAATCTCAGACAAAGTTACCGGATCCCTTTAACATTAAAGTCAAAGAAGAAATGAACATGCGAAATACAAGTAGTGCAAGATTTCAACAGGGGGGGGGGGGTGACAAAACGGGTTAAATCATAAACATTGCAGCAATGCAATTGTAAATTAATTATCTGGGATATCTGTATGACGATGTCGGATTTTGGATATCTGTTCATTCTTGTGGGTTGCTCGGATGAGTACATGACAATAGATTGAATCCATATTTTTTTCTCCAACTCTATTCTTCAAATATCACTGTCAACAAGGTCTACCGTTTCTTTTTATTGATAAACATATATTATGACGTTTCTTTTAAGTGCTACTGAAATGCAATCAAAGACCGTTTACAAATCTTACGTTTTCTTGGCTAACATCTAATGGTTTCTTATCTTTTGCTGTAGATATTTCAGATGTACAGCCAGGGTCGTAGCTACATTAATTACCAGAGCCTTTTGGAGTGGTTCATCTACGTACTTACGTTTTTCCTGGTTATTCCGGTCAGTGGAGTACAGTACGAGGAATACACGCTAAGAGAGGTAGGCACACTTTCTTCATTCTATAGATCCATAGCTTGTCCTCACTCACAATATTGTTCCAAATTTCCATAGGCCTTTCCCCTCTTGCTAATTTCGGTTTTATTCTGGGCATTTTTTTCCCTCTATTACTTTCACTCATACATCATTCAATTTCTCCCGCCTGGCGTTGTTTTTGGCATGTCTGGTGCTATGTTTCGATAAATGGATACACCAAATTTCCGCTGTACTGCAGGAAAATGCAAACCAAATTATACAGGAGTAGAAAACGAGTCTTTGCAGAGTCATACTAAGGACTAATTCCTGTTAGAGGGAAGATACACGCTTATACAGCGTGAGTCAAAAATAAAAGTTTACATCTAGAAAATTGCTAATCATTTTAAAGTGACTCGGTAACATCGTTGAAAGTTGATGAAAAAAAAATTGCATAATTTTTTTATGAAATGTTACTTATTATCTTCCTTCTACTGCACTAGCCCTCTCACATGCAAAAAATCCATTTAAAACCACAAAGATATTGATGGTTTTTTAAGAAGGTGTCACTCGTCAACACCCTCTAACAGTGATTAACAGTAAATTCTCCCAACCATTTTTGAATTTTCCCAACCGTTTTTCCATGAAAAAACAAACATAAAAAACAGGCTAATAAAAATCTGTCAACACTTAAATGTCTGGAATGGTATGTAGAGCCAATGTAATGCTGTGTGACGATTTACATTCACCTAAAATACAATTAAAGCGTAACAATATAGTTGGGAGAATAAAGGAATCGATCAGATCAGCTGTTCCCAATTAATATCGTTAATAATGGTCTGTTTTCACTCAAACTTTCAGATAATCTTTAATTGTACATCTAGCATTGAAGTCATTACCTTAACACCACTTTCTCTCATCTGAACAATGTTACAAAGTCCCTTCAAAATCATGTTCAGATTACGTAATAGGTCATGACAATATTTCCGCATTTTAATGGATTACGGGCAAGGCTCTTGAACTACAGCCTAATAATCTTTGCGCTGGTGTTTCAATGAATGTACATCTTGGTCTAAATCTGACAGAAATGGCAATGGCAATGTGGTGCACTGGCTATTTTCCTGGCCTGGATAAACCTTGCCCTCTACGTTCGGCAGACATCGACCCTTGGCATCTACGTCATAATGTTTGAAGGTATGGCCCTAGATTCTTACAAACGGTAAATTAATGCTTCAACGACGCATAATGAATTATTTTCGGCTGAGGGAACTAATTTTACGGCAAATGGATGCATTGCTTAGTTCTGTATTAAACTAAGTGAGATAAATTGACTTAATGTTTTAAACACTTTGAATACTGATTATTCTAAGCTTTCATTTTAATGAAACCAACTCATCGAACTCTCATCGGCATACATTTACATAAACATGAATATGCATGATTAACGATTATATTCGTAACACTTCACATATTGTATTTCTGTTCAGACGTTCTTCGAAGCACAATTCAATTTCTGGCCGTCATTTTGCTGTTCATGATTGCATTTGCTCTGGCATTCAACACGTTACTACTAAACCAGGTGAGCATGCGATTGAAAAAAAAGCTTCTTTCCTTAAAACGACAAAATAGGAATGGCTTTTAGTCTTTTTAGAGAAATTAAGACACGATATTTTTACAGGCATCTTGCTTTTCATGATAGTATTCACTCTGGCATTCAACACGTTACTTCTGAACAAGGTGATGATGTGATTTTTCCTCATTGTGGAAGAGCAGGGGCGGTGCCTGGTGGAGTTGGAGCTTAGGTCTCAAACACCGTTGGCAAGCATTGAGAGAGAGAGAGAGAGAGAGAGAGAGAGATCAATTTCACCGAAAATTAGATATTTTTTTCGTTTTTTCCTATATTTTGACTGTTATGTAGCTTTAAAAGTTAGACATGTCGGCAGGCCACAGTGGTCTAACCCTAGAAAATGCCGATTGTTTAACCCTTGGTTTAAATACTCTTAGCTGTAATGTCGCACAGCGTAATTAAAGCAATGAAAATACAAGTATGGTACGTTTATGCTCAATTTTTAAGGCAGAATGAGCGATTTGAAATGCTCATCGTAAACGCTCATCGTAATCGTAGTTCTACGGTGTACTGTTTATGCTCACTGCTCTGGCTCCTCCAGGCATGATTCTGGCTCAGAGCCAGAATCATGCCTGGATGAGCCAAAGAAGTGCAGTGCAGAGACTGCAGCTGGATTCGCAAACCTGCACTGCGCAAGCTACGTTGACCCCATTTAAACGCGTTTACAAATGATTGTGCGTTTATGCTTCCCCAGAATCGCCGATCCAAAACGCACCTTTTTGTGAGTTTAAGATCGGCGATTACGATCGGCGTTTTTCTGTGATTCTACAAAAATGAGAAAGGACGCAACCGTGTTTTGAACCAAACGCGTAACAAATGCCTCATTCTGGCCAGAAAAAGTTTAGCATAAACGTACCCCCAGTGTGTCGACTGCCCGCAAGGAGGCCGTTACTGCCCTTGCAATACATGGCTTTTACGACATTCTGGCTCCTTCACTTGCCGGCTGCTGAAGACTATACAATAATGACAGGATTTTTCAGTCCCATATGTTCTTCATGTACTCTTTCCTAGACGGATTTTCACTCTTTTGGGGACTCCTTCCTTCGGACGTTTGTCATGACGACAGGTGAACTGGATTTTAGTCGGGTATTTCATTCTCAGAATTACCTGGGTACGAAGAATGCAAGTCCAGTGGAGGACTTCATACTAACAGCTGTCTTCTCAGACGTCATCACAAGTGTAACGTTGGTGGTCTTTGTCATCACGATGCCCATCATCGCAATGAACCTTCTGGTAAGTAGACTTCGTGGTCGTTTGCGGTTCGAAAAACCGCCCGTACTAATAACACAGTCGCAAATGATGTCGACAAATCAACCTACCATAAAGCTAGGATCCGACTGGGGCACGAGGCTATATATTGCTCAAACACTCACCTACCCCCGATAAAGCATTAATAAAGATTAAAGAATTGTCAAACTGACGGTTGAATTTGGTGTCGCCCAAACTACCGGCCCGTCTCCGTTGTGTATATAGTGGTTAAAACATCGGCGTTCTATAAGCTAGGGACCCGGCTTCGATTAGCAGAGGAGACGTATGAGACATATTTTCTATCTTAGCAAAGGTTTCCAAAAGGGAGGACAGCAATGGATCGTTTGATTTTGGCTATGCGACCATTATTCTCTCATATCTTTACATAATTATATATACAAATATCCCTTCAAATATTGAAACAATGCAATGTCCTCTACAGGTTGGTGTGGCTGTTGAAGATATCCATCGCATACGACAGAAGGCAACATTCTATTATATGAAACTCAAGGTAGGTTTAAAGTCATCTAATATAATCATGAGCTTCATTTCTGTGACCTTAACTAAAAAATGTTTTAGATACAAGTTATTGGCGAATTTGCTATAGTCGAAATATTACTAGATAAGGATATGCCCCCTATCGATATTAAAACTTGGATATCAGATAATGTCAAATAGTTATTTCTTTTCCCTCCTTTGCCTTACTATTTTAATGAAAAGCATGCGTACACTTTATATTTCGAAACTTTCGTCATAATAATAAGTGCAGCCATAACGCACACATATCCCAAACTTCCGCTCAAGTCGTGACAATAATTAAAATGCAAAAAACATTTGATAAACAGCTCAACAGATGATCTACAGGTATTGAAAGTCAATTGTATATAAACATTATACTTTTTCAGCTGTTTTGAGTGTTCTGTTGAATCTAACTTCTTTATATAAGAAGGAAGTAAGTTCAAGAGAACAGGTGCAGCTTTTGATCTGTCTCCGTATAGGTAAGCGTTCTCGTAATTAGCACACCCTGTCTCGAAACCTATGGTGATCTCGACGATCTCACTGGCCGAGTAAATGACAACATTAAAAACGTGTGTACTCGGGAGCCTGTTCGTGCACAATTTTGAGAGAAGTCGGACTGTTATGTATCGAGCTGTGTTATAACATCGTTGAATTGAGCATTTTTCAGCCAATGACGCAGGTTCGAAACTGAGTCACGTCTTTTGATCTGGATGGTGACGTTAAATGTCGGCCCTAGACGTAAATATTCATATCTGATTGATACAAGTTTGTAAAAAACCAAAAGTATACACACACACTCATTGCTTGCACGCATGCGGAGAGTTGAGACTAAGCATTAGATTTGGAGTTGGAAGTCAACATTATGGTGATTTAAATGTGTCCTGCTTACTGCGTCCTTGCAACAACCCATTTACCCAAACATAACGCAGACTAATCTTAAATACAATTCGTTTGTGTGCTGGTAGGCAATTAGCGAATTATAGGAATTATTCGAGTGTACTTTCTTACCTAAATGAGCGCAAGTGCTGCATTGTTGTGTCACTTATGCAATTGAGAAACATTTTAATCATACTTCTGATGTATTGTGGAATCTTGCATGAAATAGTAATGATGTAGCACAGTTTCTAAAACAGAAATGACATCTCCCGTTCACCCCTTGCTCAGGTGGATCGAGTCATATCAGCAGAGAATATGGCACTCGGTACGATCCTAGGTAAATACATCATTAGATGGCTCCCCATCACGGTTCAATACCTGAAGATACAACTGTCACGCAGGTCTAAATTAACTCGGTTTCGAACGTGGTTTACTTCCGTCGTCGATTTTGCAGAACTTCGAGAAGGCTTGAGGGCGGTCTGTAAGAGGAACCAAGAGAGGGAAGAACTTCGGGCCCAGGTAATTATGGATAAGTTTTTATATTTTATTAGGATTCTACCTATCAGTGGCAGATTGGGGGGGGGGGGGGCACGCCCCCCCCCCCCCCCCGCTACGAAAAAAAGAGGGTGATTCAAGATTCAATTCAAGATTCAAGATAATTTATTGTCTGATTTAAAAAAAAATACAGAAATTCGTCCTCCACTGGCGAGTGACGTACATACATGTAGACAAACAACATAAACAATATATAAATACATTCGAGGATACCGATACAAAGAAAATACAACAATAATAATAATAACAATAATAATAGCAATAATAGCATTAACAAAGCTGACATATAAACTTGAAAACTGACATTTAAAAATGAATCTTGATAATGCACAGAATGCATTGAATAAATGAATTTAAAAGTGCTCTGAGACATTCACCCCTTCTCTCCCAGAAAGGGGTATGAGGAGAGAGAGAGAAGAACAAATGAGAGAGAGAGAGAGAGAGAGAGAGAGAGAGAGAGAGAGGGAGGAGTCGAATGGAGTAGAACAGAAAGGAAATGTGAGGGAGAAAGAGAAGGAGGGAGAAAAGAGAAGGTGACAGAAAACGAGGAGCTCTGGGAGGGAAGAGATGAGGTAGAGGTAGAGTACAGGATATCAAGAACAGTGACTGCCTGTGGTAAGAGAGACAAATGAGTCGTGAACATTCAAAAATTCGAAATTCAGAGCTGCAAGCTAGAGATAAACCCTGTGCAGTAGAAAGTTAGAATAGAAAAAAGTGTTCAATAAGGAACCTAGCCTTAGCCATTTCACATTTACATATACATGTGTCATGGGACAGCGGCCATAACATACTAAAAACATATAAGAGGGCATGCATGAAATCTGGTACATGTATACAAAGAGATGCAGTGTAGGAGAGAGGGGAGAAATAAGAAAAAGTGGTAGATAAGGGAGAAATGCACACCTAAAACAAAGCTTCAAGTGAAAGGAGGGAAGAGGGAGGGAGAAAGAACATAGCAGCTGACACTCATGCACGCACTCAAGACACGTTGTTCATCCCATAAAAGTTTAAAAGATTACTGTTTCGCATCATTATGGACAGAGTGAAAGGCATTTTAACACTATCATAAAAGACAGTTCTTCTCAAATATACATATTTGTTGAGGACAGAAAAGGAGACAAGATTACGACCTGGCTCCACGCATGCACCCAAACCATCCACACGTTACATACACTCAATTAGGAAATCATCGTTTTACAGAATTGTTGAAAATGTGTATGGCATTTGGAACAAAGGATTGTCTGAATCTACATCGTATTGTTTTAGGCACTGTTAGACGTATACCTGAACGGTTGAACTTAAAAAGCTCATGTAGAGGATGGGATGAATCTTGCATTATTTTATGAATCTTCAGTAGAACCTTCTTTTCATACAGAGCACCAATTGTGGGCAACTCTGTGTGAGTAATTCTCTGAGCGATGGAGGGAGAAACAGGGCTGACGAACTATTTTGGCTTGTCAGAGGCTTTTGAACTTGTGCCCCCAACCGGCCAGGAAATCCTGGATTCATAACTGCTATGGTTAATTGAAAAGAAACAGAATGCTGAGGGCTTCTCAGCAACAAGATCTCGAAGTGATTGCGATGGTTATTTAAGAAGAAGGGAACGAAGGGGGAGGGAGGTCATACAGAGAACTGATGAACCCTTTTGTTGGGTTTAAAGAAATAAGTCCGGCAGAGTTATTATTAACAAATGTTTATCAATTAGAAGCCAAATAATCTCGCCAACCGTACAGTGAGGCTCAAAGTAAAATGTATTTGATATTTTACTTACGGTAGGCGTCTTTTGTTTACATACTATTCTATTGCTTTATTTTTTATCTCTTCATTTGTAGAAGTCATCGTGCAGTTATAAAGACCAACCCGATGGTGGGACAAACCAAACTCTACTGCAGAAACTGTGTCAAATGCGAGACGAAATAAACGGTTTGATAAGTCAAGTCGAACACAGAACCGATTGAAGGTGTTGAGAATTCAGTTAGTGGAGAGTCGAAATCCTGTAGGCCTTAGTCAAATTTCTGTAGGCCTTAGTCAAATTAAACATTTTATTATCATACGTGACTCTCAGTGATGTTATGTGTCACCTTTAATATTAATAACTTTCTTCTCTTGTCTCCTTTTTTCCCCTTGATTCTTTATTCTTTCCTAATCTTCTTCTTTCCTGTCCTATTATGTAGTATTCTGTGATTTGCGTGGTACAAATGCAATTTCTTCAATTAGTCTCTTTGGTATATTTCCCGCCATTTATGTTTTCCAAATTCTATTTCACCAGGAATGCTGTCTTTTTGTTTTTACAGCTGTACTCAATTTATTCATGTCATCATTAATTAGTATAAATATGTATTATGTTTATATCATTCAAATGTATTTTAAGTATGATTTTTGTTATAAATTTATGTATTTTTTACAAATGTTTTATTAAAAATGGAATCTTAATATAGTGAATTGAATTGAATTTAATCAAGTTTGACCAGAAATGATGGCATAAACTGTGTACATTATGTTCACAAGTAAGATGATCAGCATCAGCAGCAACAACAACAACACAACAATAGCCTTTTGCATGGATAAAAAAAATATCAACGAGAAGAAAAAAAAAAAGCAAAAGCAAAAGCAATTTTGAAAAAATGACATCAATATTTGTTATAAAAAACACTGTTAATGATCGACGGAAGAAAGGACCCACCCTTACGTACATCTGCAATGTATTGGATGCTCAAAAAATATACGTATATAAATATATACGTGTACGTGGAGATAACAAGGGTCTAATGCTTTGAGAAAAAAATATTTTATCCAAACCTAGACGTAATGATTTTACAAAATTTAGACAGATTTTTAAACTATTTAACATAATTTATATTGAACAACTGATATCATTTGTTAATATGTTAGGTCTACTGTAATAATAATAATAATTCTGAACATACCGCTTACGAATGTTATCAAAGGCTGTACATACGAGAACACAATAAACTGCATCACCTTGTACTTTGAGATCACATAAGGAACACATTTCTAGAGGCTGACTATAAGGCAAAAACGACATTTAGTGATGGGGAGCTTACTATTACCACATCGATATTTACAAAGAGATGTATTATCACTATAATCCAACTTTAACAGATATTTTCCGTACCAAATTCCTGTTTTAAAATCCTGTAATTGAAAAATAAACGATTTCGATTAACTTCTTCATTCCAGTTTTACAAATCAAAGTCAATTAGTCTACGATCCATAGAAGATTTTACCCACTCTATGTTTAAAGGGATGTTTGTTACCCATAAATTTGACATTTGGCTCATGTTTAAGATAATTTTAGTTTTCTAAATCCATCTCGATTCAAAGTCACAATTATCGTACAGTTTGCGTTCCAAATTGTAAATAGTACACGAGAGTTTAGATTTCTTTCCATGAGTAACTCTTGCCAAAAAAGTTACCATACGCCTCTCCACTTTTACTAGTTAAAGCAAATCTACGAACTTCACCATACACCATAAAACTTGCAGTACCACGATTCAATTGAAGAAATTTGAGAAATTTCCTATAAAACACTTTAATATAGTCTAGTTTCTGCAACCACCACACTTCACACCCAAACGATAAATCGGAACATTTAATTGATCGAATAGCTCATATTAAATATCAATTGGTAAGCACAATTTTCAGCCTAACAAGTGAGATGAAACATGGCTCTCCTGGCTTGAGTAACCTGCTTATGTATTACTTGTCATTGTCATATTTTCAGTGTTTGTTTTGGGTGAAAATTACTACCATCTGTATTTCTGTCTAAATATTATTTTGCACTTGAAATAATGTTGTCATACTTTCGTATTGTTGTATCAAGAAAAGACGCTGTAAAAATAATTGATGTATAATCAGATACAAATACGGATACTATTAACAAACAAATTGTCATCAGATAGCGCTATAAGGTGATAACAATATGTAAACAAGCTGCAACATACAGTTAATAATATGAAATAGTTAAATATCTGACTTTTTTCAATAGAATAATAGAATATATAAATATACTGCAGTAGCATAAATATTTAACTCCAGAAGCAGACCTATACTCATTACAGTGTTATTTCAAAAGTAGATGAAATCCTAATAAGTTTCTTTAACGTTATAAACCTCAAATTGTGCCAACTGAAAAGCTATTATGCTTACAAATTTAAGAAGAAGCTCTATTTAAAAGTGGTAAATTTTCTATGATTGTCGCCTTTAAGAAAAATAGGATTTTAAGAATAAGTAGCTTGAGAATAACTTTCAAATAGAGAAGTTATGTCCCTTTTCCAACGGTGCATTTAAAAGTACTATTAATGATTTGGTAATTGAAGAATTACAACGTAATAAAGTAAATTGAATAATATCTTGTCAGAACAATCTCGTACGCTAACGTTTACCTTTTAATACATCGACAAACTCATTTTTTCATTTTCAAAGTAATTTCAATTGAAGTGTAATGGTAAATGTAGGCCTACTTATTAGCATGTGACTGATAACAATTAAACAATAACAAGTTTGACGACGATGATGATGATGATGTCAATGACGATGATGATGATGATGATGGTGGTGATGATGATAATGATGGTGATGATGATGATGATGTTAATGGTAATGATAATGATGGTGATGATAATGATGGTGATGATGATGATGATGATGATAATGATGATGATGATAATGGTGATGATGATGATGAAGATGATGATGATGATAATGATGATGATGATAATGATGATGATGATAATGATGATGATAATGATGATGGTGGTGATGAAGATGATGATGGTGGTGATGATGATGATGATGGTGGTGGTGATGATGGTGGTGGTAATAATGATACTGATGACGATTGTGATGGGGGTTATGATGATGATGGTGATAATGATGATGATGGTGATGAAGATGAGGACGGGTGATTCCTGATCAAGTGTATGTGTCATGTACAACAACAAATTAAAGCATCAAGCTTAGTGTTAACCGTAAGACCATGAGGATAATACCGGTAAGAAGAAGAAAAACAAGAGAAAAAGGATAGTAAAAAAAGAAAAAGAAGAAGAAGAAGAAGAGGAAGTAGAAAAATGAGAAAAGGAAGGAGGCATAGGAGAAGGTGGAATGGTTGGAGGGGAGGGATCGATAAGCAAACGGTGCAAGGTAATAAATGACCTGAGGAAATCTCGAAATAAATAGCTGATTAGCGCCAACTAGCTCTGGGACTGTCATTGCAATCACCTGTGACTTTGGAAACCATCCGATGTGCAGAACTAGAGGTCGGGGGGCGTTGCCGGGTCAAATGATACGTCACGATATTTATGCATATTCATTAGACAGCACGTGCGATTGGCTCTAACAATTTGCATCAGGCAGAAGTTCTTAAACGTAGACGGGAATTGCTTATCTAAAGAATCAAATGAGCTTTGTGAAGGCAAACTGTCGAACGACAAGCGCTTTAAAGTGCTATATGAAATGCCTTCTGGAATATCTCCTGGTAACGATGGCTTACCTACAGAATTTTACGTACACTTTTGGGAACTAATCTGTCCTCACTAAATCATTCTTATGATACTCTGCAACTTTCAAATAGTCAAAAACAAAGCATGATTACACTAATATATATTTAAGCCGGATAAAGATAAGAGCAGAATAAGTGAAGCTATACGTGATATGTTTCATTATTTAAATACTGAACTATAGAATAGTTTAATTATATCGGTAGACATTCGATTTTGTCGGCCATGACTACATTTACTGTGATCTTCAAGCGTTCGGTTTTGGCCCTTCTTTCATTAGATGGGTCAAAATCTTGACAAGATGGTGATAGCAGTGGTATTATAAACGTGTTCAAACAAAATGCTTATAAATCAATTTTACTTTTAGTTAATTCTCCACAGGCCTTGACTTAGGTCCCTCCGTTGTAGCAAAAGCGACGGCCACACGATCGACATGATATCATCATCAATTGTGCTCTATCAGTTTATGACAGGTTCAGTGACCCATTCAAAATTCTATATCAAGTGTCTCTCAAAGTTTCTCTCCAAGTTCCTCGGTCTTGAGCCAAACGTTTCATCGTTTCATACCCTGTTGCTGACATGATATATATAAATATATATTTATATAGTGCAAATAACAATGTGGGAACAAGAGAAAGAGAGAGAGAGAGAGAGAAGCGAGAGAGAGAGAGAGAGAGAGAGAGAGAGAGAGAGTCAGAGGCGGAAAAGTGACTTCCAAAGTTTTTTTTTTTTTTGGGGGGGGGGGGGGGTTCACCAACAAAAGAGGGCATTTTATGGAGAAAAAAAGGGAACCTACAAATGGAAATCCCAAAACGAAAATATAAAGTTTTGTTTTACATTGCTGTATACCCCTACATTTTAATTAAATTATCAGGGATGATTTCAATATTTTTTTCTCTTTATATATCACACAAGATTTTGCATGCAACCTACTTTGGGTGTGATGGTCTATATATATTTTTTGCGAGGGAGCGAAGCAAGTGAGAAAAAATGTTAGGCTTCGTGAGGTAGCAGTGCGAAAAATGAGTTATATGAGGAAAAAACCCAATCCTGATTCTATAATAAGCAAATTCTCATAACAGAAGACTAACAAGAACTTTGATAAATAACATAATTATATCATCTATTAATGCGAGCGAGCGCAGCGAGCGATCTTTGGTGGAAATCGCTTTAAATTAGGGGTACGTTTAATGATAAGAGATAAAGGGGACACTTATCGAAAGGAATAAAAACACTTATTAGAAAAGAAAAGGAGCATGTGTCAAAGGACAAAAGGTAATTATACGAAGTGAAAATGGTGCATTTCTTACACCAGAAAAGAGGCACTCGCCAGAGAAGAAAAAGGCAATTATGAGAATGACAAATGGGCATTTGTCAATGGAAAGTGGCACCATCGGCTTTTGATAGATATTTATAGATATTTATCAGAGGTGAAAAGGGGCAATTATGAAAAGGGGGTATGTTCCTTATTAGAAAGTAAAAGTGGCACGTATCATTGTTAAAAGGGAAATTATCAGAATTGAAAAGAGACACTAAACAGAATTGAAAAGGGGCACTTATGAGATGAAATTTGAATAGGGGCATTCATCAGATGAGAAGGGGGAAGTGGCTCTTATTAAAAAGAAAAAGAGGCACATGTTAAAATAAACGGGGCACTTATCAGAGATTAAAAGGGGAAGGTGCACTTATAACAAGAAAAAAGAGCATTCATTAAAAAGGAAAAGGGGTACGTGTAAAAAATAAAGGGGCATTTATAAAAGATGAAAAGGGGCACTCATCGAAAATGAAAAGAGCGCTTATCAGAAAGGGAAGGGGCACTTGACGTATATATATATATATACACTTGCACAACACACTCACCAACTCATACACAAAGCTCGTTTAAACACTTTTCATTTTAAGTTTTACCTAAAGATTTATTTATTTATTTTTTTTTAATTTTTTTTTAGGCCACCATCCTTATCAAGCTTTGCTTATGATTGCGGTCTCCTGCACTTTTCCAACAGAATAGTTCGGATAATACTTTAAATTTATCATAATATGTTATGGAAATATTAAGTTTCGTTATTATATGTACATATATTATGTAAACAAAAACATTTTGACATAAAGAATTTATTGTTTGTTTATGTTGTATTATATCGTACATTTATATGTTCTTTGTCATTCAGTTATGTTATATTTGGAAAAAATGCAGAAATCAAATCAAATCAAATCAAATCAAAGTAAAAAGTGCATCTCTCAGATTTGAACAGGGGCAATTATCGGAGGTGAAGGGGGCACTTATCTGAAGTGAATAGGAGTAACTTCTCGTACCTGAAGAGGGTGATTTACCAGAGATGAAAAGGGGTACTTAATTGCGAGAAGGGAAGGGGCTCTTTTTTATATGTTGTACTTATCATAGGGAAAAGCACTTAAGAAAGGAAAAGGGGCACATGTGAAAGGTGCGCCTTTCCGAGTTAAGAAGGGGAAAGGGGCACTTCTAACAAAGGAAAAGGGGCACTTGTCGTACCTCAAAAGAGGCACGTACTAGAGATTAAAAAGGGCACATATGAAAATGGAATATGGACACTTATTGCAAATGAAAATGGGAGCTTGTCGAAGGAAAAGGGGCACGTGTCAAAGTAAAGGTGCACTTTGTGGGCACTTGAAAAATTGGGGAGGCGTTGTGCCCCCTGCCCCCGGGAGCACCGCCTCTGGAGAGAGAGAGAGAGAGAGAGAGGGGGGGGGGGGGGCAAGGGGATTTGTCTTCCGGTCCTTTCGATAGCCTCCATTGAACTTCGGATTAGATATATATATATATATATGTAGAGGCTAGCTTTTTCACTTTTTGCTCTTTTAGCTTTCCCCCCTTTATTCCGAACTTTAACCTAGATGTTTGGATGGACCAGTGGCGTAGGCAGGATTTTTTTTCAAAGGGGGTGTTTTAAAATTGGAAAAATCGCGCCGAAAATTTCGCAACGACCCAGCCAGCCGTCGGTGGTGGGAGTAAGAGCCCCTTTTTTTGAAGGGGAGGTGCGTACCCGACTGGCATGGAATGTGGGTATTAATATTAAACATTTGTCCATGTTTATGAAAGGAGAGAAATTGCGAAATACATTCGTCTGGGCGTCCACTGTATGCGAATCCTATTTTGATTTGACATATCGGTCCTTTCCATAGCTTCCATTGAACTTCTGATTAGATATTTATAGATACAAGCTAGCTTTTTTTTTTTTTTTTACCTTGTGGCTCTCTTAGCTTTTCCCACTTTATTCCGAACTTTAACCTAGATGTTTGCATAGATATTAAACATTTTTCCATGTTTATGAAAGGGAAGAAATTGCGAAATACAATCGGCTTGGCGTCCATTATAAGCGAATATTATTTTGAATTAATATAGCGTTCCCTTTGATATCCTCCATTGAACTACATATTGATAGAGGCTAGATATTTCACCCTTGCTGCTCTTTTAGCTTTTCCCACGTTATTCCGTACTTTAACCCAGATGTTTGCATGGATATTAAACATTGTTTTCATGTTTATGAAAGGAGAGAAATTGCGAAATACAGTCATCTGGGCTTCCATGGTACGCGAATATTATTTTGAATTGACAGACCGTAAGCCGGGTATAAGGGGCAAAAGCTGTTTGTCGTGAGAAGAAAAGAAAAATATTGAATGTCCCCCCGGGAGCACCGCCTCTGGAGAGAGAGAGAGAGAGAGAGAGAGGGGGGGGGGGGCAAGGTGATTTGTCTTCCGGTCCTTTCGATAGCCTCCATTGAACTTCGAATTAGATATATATATATATATATATATATATATATGTAGAGGCTAGCTTTTTCACTTTTTGCTCTTTTAGCTTTCCCCCCTTTATTTCGAACTTTAACC